CAGCACTTCTTCGCCATTAAAATAAGCCAACAGTCTATATGTATATGAGTTTATATTATGGGTTAGAGTGTATTCAGTGTACACTTTGACCGGTTGCGAGGGTTTGGCTAAACATGTTTTAAACGGGAAATAAATTAAATTAATATCACGTTTAATATTAACAACATTTATACAAACCTTTCTTATAGACAGTATTAAATAACGAGCAGTTCGTGTCTATAAAGTAGCACTCGATTAGCTGTTGGACAACACTCTCATCCGATACGAGTCTCGTGCCATTTCCCGCCGGCGCCGACGCGTTGCCCACCGATTTAGTTGTCATCAAATCATAGATAGTGTTTGCAATTAGAGTCGATATCATTGATAAATGTTTGGTAAGATTAAGACCCGAGTTGTTGAGGCGTTGAAAGTCGTCGTACAAACTGTGGTAGAATTTATTGATGTATTCTTTGCGATGGTTTGCGATAACGACACCAATCAGTGATCGGTTGTGTTTGAGAAAACTCTGGAGCGAAGACGGGGGCAGTGGTTGGCCGTCAGCGACGCCCTCCACCACCAGATTGGGTGCAGACATAACGTGTGGACAACTGATAGCAGTGTTATGAGTGCCGTAAGCGCTGAGTCGGCGCCCGACGACCGGCCGCTAAACATAGACATCGAGTCCACTCTCGCGGCCAAAATCACAACCGAGTTATCATCGATCGACTCATTTCTCGATGTCATCAATAGATTACTGAATACATTCTGTGCGACCAATGGTTTGCAAAACTCATCCGCGAAACCCATTTCTATCATGTTTTTTGTTAATCAATTTGTATCTCAATTGTTATAATCGTTTACCTTTTTTAATACGATTAATTGGATTGCTTTGAAATTTTCTCATACAAGTGATGGCATCTTTAGCCGCAAACATCAGTGATTGCAATTCAATCGCACATAACGGCCAATGAGTGCTGTGGTTATCGAAACACTATTTAATTAAATGACAATTTGTTAAATATTTTTGTTAAACAATTGAAAAATATTTGTATTCATAACAAACTTCATAAATGTCTTGAATATGGGTTTGATTTTTAATGTGAAATATAGGGAACGGCCAGTCGTTAAACATGAGATTCTGGTCGTGTATATCATTGTCCCGATTGTCGACAACATTCCACTTGTGTTGCGAACAATGGCTATAATTGGCATCATTTACATAGAGATCAAAGTATTGATTGGGACACGACTTGTCCACTGAATACGATTTCAAATCATTCACTTCGGACTCGATTTCAATTAATATAACACCACTTATTCGCTCAGACGACGACTTCAGGCGACTTAATGTTTGACTTCATAAACGATATTTGGTTTCAAAATGCAGTTTAAAGTTTTTAATATAAAATCTCTTACAAATTGAAGTATTTGTTACTAATGACAGCGATATATGGATAGTATTGGCCGGTGTTTGTGATAATATCGATGTCATCTCCACTCTTGATTATGTGAACTATTCCTACATTTCCCGTATCTTTAGCTATGATTAAATATAATTATAAATTATGCAAATAATAGTTTCAAATACATTGGCATCCGATTTGATTCGTGACATTCAATCTTCGGATACAATAGTATTTGTTCTCCAAATCCTTGTATATCTTTGTCTTAATTCTATCGCCATTTGCTGTCAAATATTTACAATCAAATTATTAGACAATTCAAATCAAATATTTAATTTCTTACAAAATTCAAATATAAACAAATTTATTATCGCAATAAATCCAATGTTTTGTAAATTCATTATAAATTTTAATAATGTTTAAACTACAGATAATCCAACAGTAATTATGGTTTTACTTTTGATAGCATTTTTTCTAACCGCTGAAACAAAGCTGATTTGAACAACAATTAAAGTGTTATTATTTGACTGTTTTTATAATTGAATATTGAATTTGAAAATGTTTCATGTGATCGACAATAATGTATTGTTTGGCAACAAAATGACAAAAATCGCAATGAATTTAAAATAAGGATATTTTGTGAGACCGAAGAAACTTCACCCGAAAGTATGCAAACCATGAGATCTAACACTTTATTCTGTCATAAGTTAAGAACTAAAACATAAACTAAAAATTGTAATATTTAATAAGCTTTGAATTTAATATTAATTAAAAAATGTTTAATTGAATTATTTTGATTTGTGAACACTTTTTAACCAATAAAAATTTATTTAATTTATTCTTTGGAACTTTAATTTTTAAGTAACTCAAACATGTATTTTAATTAATATTATTTATTTATCAAATGTTTGTCAAAAGCGACAATTATTTGGCAATTTTATCAATCATTTTCTTAATGAACTCCATTTGAGGGCCAGTTTTAGTGGGAAAAGTGGAGCCGCCGTACCATCCGATCCAATCCCAGCACGCGTTCAGATTATTCAACCAGTAATTAGTGGGAGTGAAGTGCATAACCAGATCGGAGTGGGTTTGCGGGAAGAGTATCACCAGATTGTTAGTATCGGCCCATCGGTCGTAACCCGTGTTCTTCACAAACTTATCGCCGATATCTGAAACCGATTGCTTACAGCCGTGAAACGCCACATGAAGTCTACATTTGTGGCCATCGGCGCAACTCTTTGGCACATATACGTAGCCTTTAGTGTCCAAACCGGTGGCCAACGGATTGCTTATGAACTCCGACTGATCGATCTCAAGGAAACTGCCGATCAGAGCGCCCGTATTCTTGGCATTTAGTTTGCCATAAATGTGGTTAAGTATAGCACCGGCGCCGTCATAGTTGCAGTTACTGATGAACGGACTGCCAGTGGTATCGCAGGCACTGTTTCCCGTGGCGTCAAAGTCGGTGGGAAACGTATGGCCGGAAACCAAATCCTTTTTATACTCGATATTATTCGCCGGAATGTATTGACTTTCGGTCGCATAGTATTTGTACAACTGATTCATGACAGACGTCGAGACTGTCATGTCTTTAGTGCCAGANACGTATGGCCGGAAACCAAATCCTTTTTATACTCGATATTATTCGCCGGAATGTATTGACTTTCGGTCGCATAGTATTTGTACAACTGATTCATGACAGACGTCGAGACTGTCATGTCTTTAGTGCCCGAAATCATAAACACTTTTTGATGCGAGAGATTTGATTTGTCGTCAATGGAGTGACCGCTCCATAGATTGGTCCTCTCGATGGCCAGTGAGACCAACGGTGAGCTCATATACATGCAAAACGCCAGACCTGTCTCTCCGCCGCAATCGTAAGGACCGCCGGCTATAATACCGGCGCCTCTAATGATGGACGAGAAGGCGATCTGCATTTGGACGGCAAAGAAACCGCCTGAAGACAGACCCGATACCGATGTCTCGTTGATATTGACATTAAATTTTGGTAAAGGCTTTCGATATTAAGAATAAAAAATTAATCAAATAATAAGTTTAGCAAATTTGTTGTAAATTACTTGAACTCCTTGTGATTTAGATATACTTATTGTAAAAATAATTAGAAAATCAATAATTTTAATATAAGTATTCATTTTTGTAACTTTTTCCACAACCAAAAGGATAATGAATTTATACAAGTATCTGAATTTATTATATATTGTGTTTTGGAAAAACAAAACTCTCAGCAAAAGGATTACAAGTAATAATGTTATCAAAATTTGATAATCAAATAAGTCTTAATAAATTAATCAAATGATAATTATATTAATATTATTATATTTTAAGGATTTATAGAAAGTTAAGGCCAACACAGATATCCTAAAGTTTCAAACTCCATGTCTTAAAGAATTTTGTTTTTTACAAAACATTTTATAAATATCTTAAAATAGAAATTAAAGAATTATTGATTACAACAGTATAAGTATGAAAAGTATTGATAAAACTGCTAAATAAGTGCAAATATTACTATATTTTGAAATGAAATGTTTTATTTAATTTAAAAATAAATTTAGTAATATTGATACATCCAATAAATAGATAAACAATGTTTTATAAAACTTTGATTAAATATAAAACTCATAAAAAATGTGATTAAAGTTTTCGTTTAAAGAAAATGATTGAATTAATCAAAAAGAATAAAAGCCATAAAATAGTGATTGTGAAACCGATCAACACTTGACTCCTGTCGAGACCCCAACCCCTCAACAAAATACAGCGCAAAGTCTCGATGGCTAGCGTTGAGGGAAGCGTTTGACTGATGTATCGGAGGGCAGTCGGCATACTTTCCAACGGCCAGAATATTCCTCCAATCATAACACTGGGAAAGAAGGCACCGATTCCTGTATACAAAAACATTTAATACTCAATAAGATTAGCAAATAATGCGAACAAAACCTAAAGTGTTTGCGTATATCTCGTCGTGACAGACGGCAGATATCATTAGACCAAACATTAGACCGCAGAGTCCCTGAAGAAAAGTCAGAGTAACCGCCGAAACAATGGATCCGCTGTTGGGTATCGCGAAGACAAGGAACGCGACCATCAGTTTGAGGCCGACCTGAATGGCCAACAATAGGGTCTGTAATATAATGTGCGATAATATGAACTCAAATGGTGTGACTCCCGCCACAAGACTTCTCTCTACTAAACCATCGCTTCTCTCTTTAATCAACAGATGACATGTCATAACAGTTGTGGCGAAATAGGCGACCATTATTAGAGCCCCGGGAGCTATGAACGAGATAAGTGACTGTTTCGGCACACCATATA